TTATACAGATCCTATTCAAGCGCCATCGTTTTGTATTCGTAGGCGTAGCACGTTGAAAAAGCATCGCGTTTCCCTTATTATTCGACACTATGAAAAACCTGTCTCCCTTTGAATCAGATTAGATAATTACGATTCAACACAATCCCACGAAACGATTCACGAAAAAGCCGGTTACGGTTCGAGTTTTTCTCTCGAACTTCTAAAATCGATGGTACACGATCGAGAAATATTTGAAATTATGAATATGGCTGAATATGCCGCGAAAAGAATGAAAAACGAAAGATCGAAAGATGATCATTTATTCGTTGCTATGTTAATTTCGATTATTCTAACGTTAATGTTAATTGTGCCGATTGTGAATAATGACCAATAATCTTAATATTTTTACCAAATACTATAAGAATATGACGATTTTTATGGAGCAGGCTAAAGTATGGTAAATTGCAACTTTTACTAAGAATAAAGCAAACGCGTTTTCAATGACCCCGATTCTTCATATTTTTTTTCCTTTTCTACGTATAGGAAAATATCGGTGCTGAATTACACCGCCGCTACCATGATATTTCTGGTGTGGATGTGCGATTGGAAACCAGTATGCAAACGTATTCCCTATTATGGTAGTAAATACGAAACGGGATCTCCTCGAAAATATTCGCATTTTTAGGAATACAACGTTACATAATGTTTCATTCTTAGTTCACAAATTTCCAAGAGAAATTAATGAAAAACGTGTTTAAATTATTTTGTAAAATTCAATAAATCATTGTATAACGTTATTTGATTTATTTGAAGCATTGTTAAATAAATATTCGAATAAAAAAAAAGAACTCGCCCGAACAGGGACTCGAACCCTGGACCCTCAGATTAAAAGTCTGATGCTCTACCGACTGAGCTATCCGGGCGATGAAAGAATATGCCCTTCTAGCCTGTTATAACCTACGCTATTCCGGCTTCGTTCGAAATAAACGGGCATGTAAAGGAAAAAAAAGATAACTCGCCCGAACAGGGACTCGAACCCTGGACCCTCAGATTAAAAGTCTGATGCTCTACCGACTGAGCTATCCAGGCGATGGAAACTAATTCTCTCATAGTGTATCCAATGCATCGTGACAAACTTTTACAACGACAATTTCTTTTTAAACAATCGTGAAATTTTCATAAACTTTTTTCAACGAGAAATAAAATTCTTCTCATTATTTTTTCTTCTAACGAACAATATTCTTTTGTGCGAAATAACGTATGCATTGATCGTTCCTCTCGATAAAATAAAAAATTATAATTAAGTAGTGAATCAACGTTAAACGTGAATCAGTATTTATAGTATCCTAGTTTATCACGATACATTGATCGATGCTATAACCTTCGACTTGCACGAACCGCTATGAATATATAACAAAAAGAAAAAGAAATAAAGTCGAGAAATATAGTCTGATGTCGGCAATCGAGGGCCCGAGGTTCACGATTTTTTAACCCACGTAATCATTGATGATGAACTATTAATCCAGTTGAAGCTAGAGGCGTGCTAATTACGGCTTAATCGTGGCATGATATTAAACACGCCTCGTTGAATTTTATCTTTTCTTTCGCATATTGATAACGAAGAATTGAGCCGAGAATCGAGACAGCTGCGAACATGTTTTTTTAACAAACAGCAAATTCTTTGCGAGAATTTGGCTATTTGTGTCGAGAATTAATCACTTACGGGTTCTTCCATTATTGTATCAATTTTTTTTATTCAAAAATAAAAATCTGTATTGAGAAATAATTTAATTATTTCGTTTCATCGTCTCAATCTCATTATCAATATTAGAATTATTAAAACTGTCAAAATGATGGATTTCGGATTTTTTTTATTTTATAATAAAAAATTATATTCAAAAATATGTTTTGAATATAATAATTAATATTGAATTTTATCAAAGAACAAAATTTACTCTTATAATATACTTCAACGAAAATCATATATTTTATATCGAAAAGAATTATTAATTTTATCGAATAGAAAACCTTTCGATTAAATAATCGATCGTTTCTTTCTTCCTCCCATGTTTTCTCGTAAATTACGTTAGAATTTTCGGTGAATACATCGGTATGCTATCTCTTCATGAATTTTGATAGAATTTTTTTAAACTCCTCTCTTATAACATCTACATAAACAAAAAAATAAGAAAAATAGATGAGCTTACTCTAATTTTGAAAAGATCTACGTACTAATTTACCAATTTTATTACATAAATCATAAAATTAATTTTATTTTTTTCAAGATCATTGAAATGAAATTACTCTCAAGTATTTCTTCTTCTTTGTTTTTATAATTGAATTTTATAAAATTTAATATAAAATATATGATTTCTTATCCTGCATAATATTTTCTCCTTAAACAATTAGGCTCTCGTCCAAGTAACAAATATACATAAGTTACTACTTTTTACTGCATCCAATTTCTTATAAAATATTCAATATGGCCGAATATTTTTACAAATACGAATATTACGACAAAATTTCATTAAAAAAATCCTCTTCAAATTTAAAAACTTTCGATAAAGCTCTTCTTTTTTATTTTCTTCGAGATTATAATATTATTTCCATTTTGTTTATACGTCACAACAAATTGATTCGATTAAGGAAAAAATCTCGTTCCACTGAAAAGACTTTTATTAATCTTTTCACTTCAAGATTAAAAGTATTCTAATTATAGTACATTATTAACATTCCACGGAATACCAGGACGAAATCAAATCGAGAAAAATGAGACACAGCCTTGACACGAGAGAAGCACAGCCCGTGTTGTTTCACTAACGAGAAACGGGATTATCGTCGACTAATTAATTATCTACGGTTTTAACTTCGAAGACATTTTTCCACGAATCCTCAAATCCAATTTTTCCGTAATATCTCTGCCCTCTGCACCATCGCTGTTTCGCGATTCTCTTAATCGCCTTTTATAACTTCATGATTCCTAGCAAATTGGTCTCTCGTGAAAATATCTTTTCACTCGTTCCTCGACTAATTATCGTATCCAACGTTTACGTCTTTTTCGCTTGGTAGAAGAAATTCCAATGCGTATAATTCGTCGAATAACTCATGCTGATAACTATACGAAAAATATCTCGATAGCAAAACTACATAAGTAGGATAAACTGAGGAGAAATACGCGATACGTTAATGCCGTTTTGTTGTAACGATTATAATTAAATTCCTATTATACTTCCTTATAGATATTCGAATTAATAACTCGAATAACTTCTAAAATTAATTAACCTCGAAAATATAATCTAATTTTTTTTTTAATTTAAAAATTTTCCCCAAACGTTAAAAATGAACACGCGTTGAAATTTTGAATTTTGATTTTCATCGATCCCGAATTTACATTACCACCCAATTACATCCCGAAGTTTCGTTAAAAATAAAAATAAAAAACTTATTCAAATATATTCATTGTATAACGCGAACAAGATGAAACCTCTATAATTTCGAAGATTTTTATCTTCTTCCTTGAGATTCGAGTTACTTCAATCGTATTAGAACTGGCTACCTTCGTTTCCTAATAAAAGCAACAAAACAACAGGGGGAGAAAGAGAGAGTAGTACATCCGGTACGACTCGACCCGTTCCAATGTTGTTCCCTGTAATTGACTTTGTTCGGCCAGAGCCAGTCGGTTAGTTCGAAACCAACGCCTTTTTTTTTTTTAAACCTCTTTTCGTCGTTTTTCACCAAGCTTCGATCGCGTCTCGATGAACGATCACTTTGCAAAAACGAGTTTCGCCATTGGCCAGGGCTTTGTGACAAAGTCCACGGGGCCGATCATCCGGGAAAACGCGTCACGGTTCACGCGACACCGTGGCACGGATTACTTCGATCCGATTTTCCAGATCCGCGATTCGGTCGAGATCGATCATTCGAGGGGATCGAATCATTGTGGATGGAACGTTAGGTGAACATTCAGGGTCATCGTCCAGCGAACGAGGAGGTCTCTCTTTCTCTCTCTCTCTCTCTCTCTCTCTCTGTCTCTCTTGGCTTCGAGCCACTGACTTCCCGATGTGTCAAGCTCTCAATATTAGAAGTTAGAAGGGACACCTTTGTTCGGTGATCACTTCTCTTGGAACATGGTTTCCTAAGAGTTTCGAGAAAGAAATTTTAGCGCGAAATTGTGGTTAAAGGTGAATTTAAAATAAAATTTTGAAATGGAAAATGAGAGAGAATTTTTTGGAAAATGTAACGAATATTAAATATTATGGATGGAATTTTGAAAAAAATTTCCTTCTATAAAAAATTAAATAATTCGAAAATTTTTAAATTTTAAAATTTGTGTTGCATCGAATAATTTCGCCTGGATATTTAATAATAATTTAAAATTTTACTTTTACTAAAATTTTACAAAAGCATTTAAAATTGAAGATATTGTTTAAAAAAAAAAATATTGCTCCCTATATAATCGATTATGCTCCAAAGTTTCATTAAAAACAACAATTTTGTTGATTTTAATGGCTTGTTAATTGAGAATAACAAGAGACGAAAAATTTTATGACTAATCGTACCTCTCACTTTAGAAATTTTTTGGAATTTTTTCTAATTTAAATTATACGAAGCCAATTAAAAGTGTGCACAGGAAATCGCGCAATGAAAATTTTCTTACCCTACTTTTTTAAATACTATAAATCCTTGGCCAATAATTCTATAATTTAATATTCGTTTCATATTTCTTTTTCGATTACAAAATTCTATTTAAGGCAAATTCCCAATTTACGAACGGTCGGGAATTAATTAATTCGAAAAAATCGGGGAGGATCATCTGTATTTAATTCGAGATATTAATTTATTAAACTGTGTCACCGCTGCAAAATAAATGAATTCTTCATTTATTAAATAATTATATATCACGTATGCAAGACCTTCCTTTTTTCCCCAAATTCTTCGTAAAATATACGAAACGTTATTACGTATTCATGTGCAAATGGACTCTTATTAATTGAATGAAAAATCATAGCCAGTGGGGATAATTAAAACCGTTATTGCATAAACAACTTGGCTATATAAATTTGCTTATCTTGAACAGGTTCGTACAAATGGAATTTACCATATTTTCGATATAAATATTAACAGTTTCTTATTACTTTCTCTGTAAAAAAGAAAAATAAAAAATAAAAAGAAACTCGCTTCTTCTTTTTGCACTCGCAAGAAAAATATTAACTTGATTAATTCTTCTTTTTATCCGCTTTGTGTTATTAGTATTCAATGTAAATCACTTTTTTTTTTTTTTTTTTT